TTTGTCAATGAAAGTTGCTAGATTCAATGAATTAATATATAAACGAAGAAATTTCAACAAATATTATATCACTTTCTAGATGAATCGTATTTTATTTAAAATTATGTTATTGAGTAGTAGCAACTGAGGAGTATGCTCCCCGTAGCTTCTGTCTGGTTACGTCACTATAATTGGGAGTAAGGCAGGTTGAAAAGAAGTCCCAGGTTTTCTAATATTTTCTATTGATAAAATATAAATGTGAGAAAAAAGCTATTTTTTGAAAAATAGAATTTTCAATATTGGTATTTTAGATTACTAGAAAATCTGCTACTCTCACAATGAATTAATTCTATTGAGAGATTTTTTTGTGCAAATTTTGATTTTAGGAGAACCATGACTTTTTGTTTGAAAACGTCACTAGAATGATCATAAGAGAGGAAGAGAAAGCTTATTAGTCTAGCTTCTTCAGAATGAAAATATGGAATGCATATGTATTTTTTAGTATCATTATATTAATACAACACACGTAAAGTGAAAATTTCTAGCAGACTATAGCTGTTTTTCAAGGATAATCGATCTCCAAAGAAACGATCTGTCTTATATATTGTTGGATTTTTAACAGAAAATTTTGCAATTTTTTTGATTACCTCTTTGATATTCGCTCATTGTTTTTTATTGTCATATTCCGCTATTCTTCATTTAACTAGCAAATAGGCCTATTGTAGATATCCATTTTCGGCGGAAAAATAAAAAACCTACATTATTTAAGACATTGATAAATGTATTCCAGTCATTCAAATTTCGAGAAAGTCATTGGAATATTCCAGAACAGTCTAAATATTGTAGTTAATGTCTTTCTTCTCTCTCACATCTCTCAGCAATGAAGGAGGAAGCTGACAAACTTCAAGTTAAAACTTAGGCTCACCAGGGAAGGTCCCCAACTGATCAATCGCTTTTGCGTTGAGACCATGTGCATTATGTAGGTACAAATGAGCTATGAATATCCTGAAAAAAGTTCGGGCTGCTAGCTTGTTGGTACGAAGATACTGCACGTTTCCGGTATGTTTTTAAATGAATGCCGTGGTCCCCTCAGGAACACCAGAAAAAATGATTTTCAAATTTCGACTGGAAACTTTACGTAGAAACAGACATTACCTAGAATAGTATTTTGTGAAGGTTTCAGGTCTTTTGATTTGTTCATATCCTGAAATGAGAGAATCAAATCTTCGGATTTATCCGAATGAAGATATCACATCTGTATCTACGGATAGCAGCAGCAAAAAAGTCTGAAACTTTCACAAAACACTATTCTCGGTAATGTCTGTTTCTACGTAAAGTTTCAAGTTGAAATTTGAAAATCATTTTTTCTGGCGTTCCTGAGGGGGACCACGGCATTCATTTAAAAACATACCGGAAACGTGCAGTATCTTCGTACCAACAAGCTAGCAGCCCGAACTTTTTTCAGAATATTCATAGCTCATTTGTACCTACATAATGCACATGGTCTCAACGCAAAAGCGATTGATCAGTTGGGGACCTTCCCTCGTCAGTATATTTTTCTTCGAAAAACATACTGTGAATCCTACAAAATCCATGTTAAGGAATTCTTTTTAGTTTTGTCAAGTCAATTAATCATCCTGAGATTTCTCATTAGAAAAGTGGATCAATCCTGAGTACATATTAAATCTGTAGACCATACTCAAAGTCTAAAACTCATTAAACTGTATTCTTTTAAATATTCTAGGGATACTGCTGGACAAGAACGATTTCGTGTAATAACTACAACTGTAAATAATATTAAAAAAAAATTTCTTTCATCTATTCTTTTTCGTTTTGTTTTTCTTTAAGTATTATCGCGATGCATCTGGTGTTTTGATTGTTTATGATGTAACAAATGCTGAATCATTTTCTCGTATTCGTCGTTGGATTGAAGAAATAAATAAATACTGTGATGAAAATATACCTAAAGTACTTATTGGCAATAAAGATGATATTGTACCACTAAATGATACATTAATAAACAAAGAAGTATCAACTATAGAAGCTGAAAACTATGCTCATGAAATGAATTTACCATTTTTTGAAACATCAGCAAAAGATAATAAAAATGTTACTGAAGCTTTTTATGCTATTACACGTTTAGCATTACATCAACGTTTACAACGACCCAATATACCTAATCTTACACGTCATAGTGATTTAGGAAATGGTGCACCCTCATCGGAAGGTATTCGATTAAAAGGATCGAAGAAAAAAGATAAGAAACATACTGGAACATGTTGCAAATAAAGATATATTTTTCATACATTCCTCATTTTAATTTTCTCATTATAAATCTCTTTAATTTTTTTTTTGTTCTCATTTTTTTTTCAAAGTTCTGTTTTATACTTTATTTATTATAAAATTAGAATAAATAAGATAATTCAAAACAATAAAATAAATCATACAAAATCTTTATTTCATTTTATCTTTTGTTTTATATAAATGACAACAAATCTTGAACCTATTCAAACATTTAAAATCCTTATTATTGGAGATTCAGGTGTTGGTAAAAGTTCATTAATGGCTCGATATGTTCATGGTATTTTTCACAGTGAATATACTGCAACCATTGGTGTAGATTTTCAAATAGCTATTATTAATATTGGTGAATATAAATGTCGATTACAAATATGGTGTGTTTCATTCACTCAAAATTCTCAGAGATTTTATTAGTTTAAAGTATTTATTTTTATAGTCTATCGAAGTATGAATTGTCGAATGAGTTCTAAAATCTTTTATTATTTGAAAAGAACATGAATTCTATCCAGATTGTATAATAAGGTCTGCTTGGAACAGCATGAATTGACTATATTAACAATTTTTTTTCTAATTTTTGATCTTACATTAATTAAATTTATTAAAAAGATATAAAATAGTACTAAATCACTTTGTTTTTTTTAGGGATACTGCTGGACAAGAACGTTTTCGTTCGATTACAAGTAAATCAATCAATCATGTCAATTGAATAAAATATTGTTAATGATTTTCTTTTTCTATCAATAGGTAGTTATTATCGTGGTGCTGATGGCATAATTATTGTTTATGATGTATGTTTCATTTTTGTTTTTTTCATAATTAAGTTTAATAATTATTTTTCATTTTTAATTCAAAGGTTACAGACAGTAAGAGTTTTACTAATTTAAAAGATCGATTTGCAGACGTACAAAATTTGTGTGAAACAAATATTCCAAAAATTCTTGTTGGTAATAAAGATGATAGAAATAATAACGTAAAAAAAGTTGTGTTAACTAGTGATGCACGTCAATATGCTGAACAAAATAATTTATTATTTTTTGAAATATCAGTAAAAGAAAATAGAAATATTACTGAAGTATTTGATGAAATAGCTAAACTTGCACTTCAACGACGTCTTAAACAATCTGAAAGTACACAATTTAGTACGGTTGATCTAAGAATACAAGAAAAACAAATTATTGATAATGATACAAAAAAAAAATGTTGTACTACTGCATAAAATATTAAATTTAATTTTTCATAATATTTTCATATTAAATGTGAGATTGTTTTATTTTTTTTTTTAATGAACTCATTTCTGAATAATTTTTTTTAATGATTTTTGTTTTATTTATGAATTCTGTGAACTTTTTATCAGTTTGTTTTAATAATTAATGCTTGTTATTTTTATATTCTTTTCAATTAATGAACAATAATAAGAAAGTTAAAATACATTGCTGAGGACATTTCTCAGTATGCATTTTGACAGTAATATACATTGTATTAATGAAGAATAATGAACAATACGTTAATAATGCTTTTCTAATTTAAATAGACTTTTTTTTTTAAAGATTCCATGCCTAATTAATGATGATGCATTTATCTAGGCATAGTCATCATTCTTTAACATAGATGTTGTCACGCAGCGATGGAAAAAGTTCAGTTGACTTCTTTTTTTCTAAATTGGTGGGATTTAGACAAGCATGCAGACATGTAAATCAAGAGAAGAAAACGAAAAAGAAGAAGATATTATAAGTTGCAACGAAATTATTCATATATGTTCTTGTATATTGTCATCGAAGAAAAACACAATGTAAACAAACTGATTCTATCGTTTTGATATACAAAAAAAAACATTTAATTAGTGATCAATTAATTAAATTGAGTATAATAGACTATGAATATGTCTCTCTTATTAACACGAAAATCATGGACTTATATTTACGTGTATAAGAAATTCTTCTTCCGTTTCCTTTTTTTTTATTTAATAGAAAACGTCTATAGTTCTTTTATGTCGCAGTAAATAAATGTTCCTGAGCACTTGATGAACATTTCTCTATTTTTAATTCGTAACAATTACAGAACTATTCTCGCAAAAATACAGCTCATCGGTATATATTTTCAAAATTAAAAAGATGCAGAGATTTTTTTTAGCTTTCCTCGTCATTAATTATCAACTCACAGGCCTGAAAACTAGATGTACATTCATACTAAATATACACATTAAAGTTACATGTTGTAATTGACCAAATAAATAAAAGAAGTGTAATGAGTGAAAAAATTCTGATGGCAATCATTAAAAATAAAACGAACCAATTAAAATAAATTTCATAACACTAGTTGCACTTAATAGAATTCAAAATTTGTCGTCATTTACTATGATATAAACATAACTGGAAAAATACTTTCAAATAAAAGCATTTAAAATATGATTATTCTTAAGAATACCTTCAAAATAATAGAAAAAAAATGATTTAATCATTCATTATATAAGAATACAATATATAATAAGATAAGTCGTGTTGATTTCAATAGAATTTTCATCTCTTCTAAATAAAATCCATCAAGGTTGATGATGCATAATACTGATAATGATGCGAGAAGTATTTTTCTTTTCTTTTCTATCTTTTTTTCTTACATTTAATCTTTCATAGTATTCATTGCATTAAAGATGAAGAATATTTGAATGACTTATGCTAAGAAGAATTTTATTAACATCATAGAAAATAAGTTGTTAAAACAAAATGAATTGCACTCCTTTAACATGGTCATCAAGTACAGCTGATAATCTTAGTCCTACTATTATCGTTTGTTCAATTGCTCTTATTATTCATATTATATTTTGGATTCAACTTATACCATTTTCATCATTAAGAAAAAAAAATTTGATGTGGTTATATGCATATTTAATAACAGATTTCTTTCTTCTAGCACGATTTTTTATTTTATATAGTATGCGTCGTTGGCGTGTATGTTTATATTCAACATTACGGATAGTTTTATGTTATTGGGAAGCATCATCAAAATTTTATATGAATACAGTACAAAGTTATATTTTATTAGCATTAAATATATGTCGTTGTGCACAGATTATTTTTAATCGAAATGTTTTTGTACAAAATCCTCGTTTAATTACATTAACACATTTTTTAATTTATATATTACCAGCATTAAATGTTATGATACAATTTCTTGCTGATTGGACTACATTATGGCGTAGAACAGGTGAAGCTTGTGATATACAATATGAATCATTATCTGTACAGATATTTAATTTATTTTTTGTTTATATTATTCCAATTGCTTTTAATTTTATTATTATTGGATTATGTATTCGTCATGTAAGTTCAATAAGAGATATTCGTAGTCAACAAATAATTAATCTTCGTCGTAAATATAAAAAAAATCTTTTAATTCAAACAATTATATTTTATTCAATTTGGCTTGTATTATGGAGTCCAAATGTACTTGCTTTTCAATTTATAAATATTAATACTCAACCTGGTATATATACTTCATTACTGAATTATATAGAAATAGCAGTAGATCCAATTCTTTTTTCTGCAATCGATGTTCGATTTTTTCATTCATGGCAAAAAATATGCCGTAAAATTAAACAATGTCGACAAAGAACTGTTGTTCCTACAGTACCAATTGTTCCCAAACAAAAATATTGACAGTGTCTATATTCATAAAATATTATCATTAGTCTAAGATTTTCATTATATTAATTAGTGTTTTTTTTTTCCTGTATTATAGTTAAATATTGATTTCTTGTGTTGTTGCCATAAGATTTATAATAATCTTATGTCGAATGTCTTTTTTTAACTGAACATAAAAGCCACTAGGTCAAAAATAGCTTTTTTTTGACTTCTCTTCTAGTTCCATGATAAAATATTTGTTGAGAAAGATCTTAGTTGTTTAAATGCACCATCTTATTTTTCTGTTCAATCACAATTCATTAACTAAGTGTATGAAAAGAAGAAATGAAAGCATACTCAGATGAAACACATCTTTATTGAATTCTAAAGCATTTTTGGAAGTGCTTGACAAGATCTGAATATTGAATTCCTCATTACGGCTATAAATTCGATAAGAAAAGCAAAATATATATCTACAGTTCATATACTTCATTCATTCTCAAATGAGACCCCATGTGATTCAAACGGAACTCAAGCCGCTGGTATACCGTTTATCCTCCGGCAGTACTGCAAATCGACTAGTGACAAAGGTGGAAAAAAACTTGTAGAGGAACTCAAAGGTGTTTGAGTTCATTATAGAAACTCGTTGACTCCGTCAATTAAACGAAGATATTATATTGAGCATCATTGATTTTCTATAATTAATACTTTAAAATTGCTATTAAAACTCATTTAACATCAAAATTTTTTGGAAATCCATAACAAGCATTCAAATATGTAAATATGTATTATTGACTCTTATCTTCCTGCTACCTAAATCAATGTAGACAAGTGACATCTATTGGTGGTTTGATATAATTCTTTTGATTGAAATAAAAAATTATTCATGATATTTTCAAAATTTTTTAAAGAAAAAAATTTGTTTGAATATATATTTAAATGTATCGTTCGTTGTTTATCCAATAACAATATGGTCATTGTCGATTCATTGTTAAAGCAATACCTTTTTTTTTTTTTTTTTACACTTTGATTATCCATAGGTATATCTATGTCGATAGTTTTATATAATTACACAACATCTTTTTATTGTATATGTCTTGATTTTGAAATGATATATTCGCATTTCAATTAATCTTGATTATAATTTTTTTGGATATTTTCAAGAAAATAGAAGCGTTGAATTTTGTCAGTCGTATAAGTTAGCGATCTTGAAAAACTATTAATAAATCTATTTTATTATTTAAAATTATTGATTTCTATTTCAGATTACATTATTTGTGTTTTTCTTTTCATTCTATTAGAAATTATCAATTATGTCACTTATTTGTTCTCGTATATTATTTTTTCTTTCTTAATTATATTAATTACTAATTATTCAAATTATTTTTAGTTTCAAATGAAGTTCCAGAACATCCAGTTCTTTCACCTGTATCTGGTTGTATTTATGAAAAACGTTTAATTATTAAATATCTTCATGAATCTCCAACAGATCCAATTAATGGACAACCATTAACAGAAGAACAATTGATTGATGTTAAAGGTATATACAACTAATTCCATAGAATTTTTTATTTATTTTTTATTAAATATTTAAGTTACACCATTAAGTAAACCAAAGCCACCATCAGCTACAAGTATTCCAGCTATACTTAAAATGTTACAAGATGAATGGGATGCTTGTATGTTACATAGTTTTACACTTCGTCAACAATTACAAACAGCACGACAAGGTTTGTTATTAATTATATATATAAGAAAACAAAAAAAAATTTCTATTTAAATTAGAACTTTCACATGTAATGTATCAACATGATGCTGCTTGTCGTGTTATTGCACGTTTAAATAAAGAAGTAACAGCTGCTCGTGAAGCTTTAGCTACACTTAAACCACAAGCTGGTATTTCACAAACAATACCAATGGTATGTATAGATTTTAATTTGGGTTCCGATAAGTCCTATATTTCGTGAAAACAAGTGGAAAAATTTTACGAGATTTGACTTTCCCGGAGGGGTACTACAGTGATCTTCGCGGCGCTATCCCGCCCCCTCCCGCCGGTGATCACTTTTTACGAAAAAACCAGATAATGTGAATAGCTGTTTCTTGCAGGTAAAGCACATACATTTGAGATGTGGTTCGCCGTAAAATACCTAAATTTTGGTCAATTTTTTTTAATGAAAATAATCGTATAATTCAGAAAATAAAATTCTATATAGGAATTCCTATAATTTCGAAAATTTGTAATCGGAGGCCAGATTTTAATTCCTTAAAGAACATTTCTCTCATATGTGATAACAATATTAGATCGTATTTTTTTGTCTTCTCTAATGTCTAGCCGTTTTTTTGGTTATTTGGATTAACAATCGTTAAGCCATTAGCGCAATTTTTGTAAGATCAAAATGTGAAATATGACGTAGTTGTTGTTGCTAATCATATGAGAATCATTTTATTCTGTCTATTTTGCAACACATTATTTTTACAATGTTTTTACCGAACTCTTCAGATATGAAATAAGGAAGTACTTAATATATTATAACGACACGTTATTAAGATTGTCAATATTTCTTTAGAAGTGTTGAACGAAGTCTACCGTGATTTAATCTTTTTTCTTTTTCAAAACCAAGTTCCTATCTAAAGTTACTATGACACTGTGAAACATAAAGCAGAAAGAGAGAGAAAGAAGGCTCTTTTGATCGCGAACTGTGGTCATTATTGAGATATAATTGTTCACTAGCGTTTGTGAAGGATGATGTTTAAATTTTTACTCCTATATTCAGATTAAAGAAAATGTTTAATACTTCTGTTGGAATTTGTTTTATAAAATGTGATCTAATATTACCATCCCATATCATAACGAACAGCTCTTATTGAAATTTTATTATGAGAATATTAAATATAAGAAAAATGTTTAGTGTTGTTTTTACTATCAGATCAAAGAGAGAGAGAGAGAGAGAAATATTTTCTTTAATAACGAATTGAAACACTTTCATTACTAATTTTTGTATATAATAAATAAATTTTTATTAGCATCCACATGAACAATCGACACAAATTTCACAACATGCAGCAGCTAGTATTAGTGGTGATAGTACTCAAATATCAGCATCAACAGCTGAAGGAATGACGGATGAAATCATTCAAAAAGTAAATAAAATAAATTATTTCATACTTAAAAATTTTAAATTAATATTTCATTAGTTACAAGATAAAGCATCTGTATTAACACAATTACGTAAACAACGTGGTAAACGTGTACCAGAAGGTTTAACAAGCATTGATGATATGAGAAATTTTCGTTGTTCAGCAACACATACTGTTCGTAAAATTTTTCTATTTTTTATTTATCTATAAATTTTATTATATATCTAGGCATTACATAGTGCTAGTAATCCAGGTATTCTAGCTCTTGATATATCACCAAAAAATTCCAGTATTATACTTACTGGTATGCATTAAATATTCAAATTGTATTAATAAATAAATATATTTATTTTTTTGTTTTAGGTGGTAATGATCGTCAAGCTGTTGTATTTAATAAAGATAGTGAACAAGTTATTGCAACACTAAAAGGTCATCAAAAAAAAGTTACACATGTTATTCATCATTTTGATGAAGTATGTATATAAATAGACAAAAATTAATTTAAAATATTAATTATTCTATTTTTTTTTCTAGGATATTGCAATAACAGGAAGTTCTGATTCAAGTATTCGTGTTTGGCATATTCCATCAGCACAATGTCTTAAAATTCTTAAAGCACATGATAATGCAATAACAGGTCTTTCATTACATCCAACTGGTGATTATGTTTTATCAAGTGCAAATGATACTTATTGGGCTTTATCAGATTTACGTACTGGAAAATTAATAACTAAAGTTCAAGATACAACTTCACAAAGAGGTATGCAAGAAAAACAAACAAAAAAATAATAATTTTATACTATTTCCAAATCTATGATTCGAATTTTGTTTGTGAAATTTATAGTTAAGAATTTATTCAAGAATTTTCGAAAGAATTGTGTTTAAGAGAATTTCTATTTGCGAAGTTTTTAAAGATCGGCTTCTAAAGACAAACATGTCCTATAAAATTGAGTTAACGTGCAAATTTATTTCGACTTAAACTTCTTGAATACTGTAAGAGTCGCTCTTTGAACAACAATATTGAATCGAAAATCTTGTAAATTGGTCACAATTCGACACCAAGGATTTATGAGTTCAAACAGCTGGTGTCAGTTAGAGTAATTTTCTTGTAAGGATTCTCATCTTCCAACAAAATTTTCATATCTCTGTGCAGTCTAACTTATGTATCGAATTCGATCTGAAATATAGTTCATTCCTTACAATGGTTCTTTTATTGACTCACTTCGTAGAAGATCTTCTTGCTCTTTAATTTACAAGAAAAATCACTAGAATTCTGTTCGGAATCTATTAGTTTAATTGCTTCTGATCTGACATCCTTAATCGATTGAAAAATGAAAGAAATATTTTATTTATTTAGGATTAACATGTGCACAATTTCATCCTGATGGTATTATATTTGGTATTGGTACACAAGAAAGTTTAATTAAAATTTGGGATTTAAAAGAATGTAATAATGTTGCTGATTTTCCTGGTCATACCGGAAGTATTAATGCAATTGCATTTTCTGAAAATGGTAGAATATTGATTTTTTTGTTTGTTAAAAGAAGTACAAAAAATACAATTTGCTTTGTTTTTTTTTCTTCTTCAAAGGTTATTATTTGGCAACTGCAGCTCAAGATGCATCAATTAAATTATGGGATTTACGTAAATTAAAAAATTTTAAAACTATTACACTTGATGATCGTTATGAAGTATGTGATCTTGTTTTTGATCAAAGTGGAATGTATCTTGGTGTAGCTGGTACTGATATTCGGTAAATGAATAAATTTTATTTTATTTTAGTTTTAATATTGTTTTAATTTTATTTTTCACATAGAGTATATCAAGCAAAACAATGGGATTTACTTAACGTATTTAAGGATCATACAGCTTTAGCAACTGGTGTTCGATTTGGTTCAAATGCAAATTATATAGCAAGTTCAAGCATGGATCGTTCACTTAAATTCTATCAACAATTATCCCAAGAATAATTTTCAAAGAAAATTATTTCCTAAACTATGGATCTATGAGAATTTGTATTTGATTGATTGTTTGTTTGTTTGTTTGTTTTTCTTTTCTGTACTTATTAATGAAGAACAAAAAAAAAGAAAAAGATTAACAAAAATACATAAATGTTAATTATTAAATCAAGCAGATTTGAAGATATTTTTGACTTGTAAATTCAAGGATTGTTCTTCTTAGTAAATATTTACTCATATGCAATATCATGATTTATGGTACAAGATAAATACTGGTATATTATTAGACTATTATTAGAAAAAAAACTACCATCATTCTGTCTCTCTTTCATACATCAGAAAAAGGTTACTGTCTTTTATTTATCATTATATCATTTGTGGTTCTCATCGTGACATAAACAATGGATAAAATATGGCAAATCTTATGTGCAATTAATCGTTGTTTATTGGCCTAGTTTTAGTTGCATAGAAAATAAATTGTAATAGTGAAATATGGATACCATGTGTAAGATATCTTTGATATCTGAAACTGTCCTTAAGCATAGAAAAATATACATGGCTATGTTGATCCTATGATTATGCTTGTCAAGCAATTATATAAAGGCGGATGTGATTTTAATTCCGGTGTGTGTTCCTGGTTTGACATTGTCTGATTTCATTTATGCATTGACTTAATTAGAATAATTGAATTGAATTTTGACGTTGTTTTATTTTTGTTGAGACTCAAAATTTATACTTTCAGATCAACGAAATTTTTATCTGTTTTTATTAGACTATCTTATATAGTTCTTATTTTCTTAGGAAAAAGAAAAACAGATCTTTATGATGTGTATGCATTATCATATCATCTAGGTTGTCTATTAGGTTCTCTTTCTATGAAACTCTCTTGAGATATATTCAAGCAAAGATGTTACAATGATTTTTTTCGTATTCCTTAAGGACAAGCAGAAACTACTTTTTTTTTTTCTTATTTCCGTTTTTTTTCTATTTCTACTCTTTTATCATCATTACTGCTTGACTGATTGGAGACAAAAATTATATGTGTGCAAGAGTCACTCTTTCTTTTATGAGTATCTATACTCGTATGATCTTTTGATATTCTATTTTGACATTGTCTTCATAGTTGATTGTTTTTTTTTTTGTATTTTTTAAATAGAATGTTTGCTTCGCGAGCACTTTCAACAACACCAATTGGTCATCGATGTACACCATCAGCAAAATTTACTAGTACAAGAGATTTAAATCATGATAGAGGTAAATAATTTAAAAATTTTGCAATATTATTTTTGATCTTTAATTCTATAAAAAGATCGACAACGATCATATGAAATTGAAGATGAAAAACATCCTATACGAAGTTTAGCTTGTGCTTTTATATCTGCATTGTTTTGTCCTATTCTAGGTAAGTTATAGAATGAATAGCTATTAAATTTAAGATTTATTCGACGCAAATAATATCATTTATGTTTGATCTTTATTTAGGATTTATTGCTTTATTTTATGCTATACGTGCTGTACGAACACATAGTCAAGGATTTTATGCTGAAGCATCAATATTTTATAAAAAAGCTATTCGATGGTCATTAATAACATTTATAACCGGTCTTACAATTGGTTCCATAGTTTCATTTAGTTTTTTTGTCAAAGCTGTTCTGTTTATGTAATTTATTGAATATTTTTGTGAAGTTTGGTTTCAATCAATTTATATGTAAATAATTTACAACAGTCTAATTATGTATATTAAAACAATTTTGTCTATGGAAAAAAAAAGAACAATGAAATATTGATTGTTAATTATTTCTTTGATAAATCGGTACTTTGAAGATATACACATATCTAAAAACCAGAGACTATTTGTGGAATTATTTCAATTGCATGTATCATGCAATCGAACATTGTTCATACATTAACTTCTTAAATAAAACTTCAATCATATTGCTAATATATATTATAAAGTCAATACAATTGGTTTATATAAATTTTTTGCAATAACATCAATAGCATATGAATAAGTCATAGTTACATATACATTTTTCATGACCTATTGACTTTTATTACAGGTCAATGGAATTCGATGTACATCAATCTTCATCTATATATCAACAATAATACTAATATATGTCAGTGATTTGAGGTGAAAATCGATCTATTCTTTTTCTTTATTCTTTTATGTTTATTGAATTGGAAAAAAAATAGAACATGACATTTAGATAAAGATTAATATAAAAAGCATAATTTGAACATCAATAGACATATACTTCATTAAAAATGTTATCTATTATTCTATTTCTATTCATTTCACTTGCAAATACACAATATAATTATCCTAAACAACAATATCTATTGAATAATTATAATTCCTGGCCATCTTATTTACCGAATTATCCAATATGGAATCAAGGAATACAAACAAGTAAATGCAAAAACAAAAGACATCAATTATTTATTAATTCATATCATTAAATTAATTTTTAGATCGAGCAAGTGTGCGAGGTAATCTTTTAAGTGATGATACATCTGTGTTACCATATGGATCACAAATAATTGTATCACTAGCAGATGTTTCTATTCAAGATGTAGCAGCTCGTCCCCTTAATACATTTGTTCTTTACGGATCATATCGTTTTCCTATTGCTTATGAAATTACGTATTCAATAGCACAGATACAAGCTAATATTAATAACAACATTCAACAATATGCTATTCAAGCTCGTATTGAAAAAGATGGTCAATTACTTTATATTAATGATCACTATACACCTGTCCGATTAATACCAGTTCCTGTCAATCCTATTAATGTTGTGATGAAAAAAGTTGGTCCATCAGTTTATCCAGGTAAATATATTTTTCTGGTTTGTTTTATTTCGTTTTATTTGAATAGGAAATAATGGTGGAATATATACGACGAGACCATCGATGATCAATGGTATTTATATTTGTCAAATGAGACCAGATCCTGGTTTTTGTTATGCAAGCATTGAACAATATTATTTTAATACTCAAGTACGTTCATGTCAAACTTTTATATGGGGTGGTTGTGGTGGTAATCAAAATCGTTTTTCATCTCGAGATGAATGTGAACGTGTATGTTCAGTATATCGACGACGAATTACCAATAATAATGCAAAACAAAAATGGAGTGGTTAACTTCATTATTTTCCTTTCATATACATAAATAAAAGTATATTGCGTTTTCTTTTGAAAAATTATTCTTTTAAAAAAAAAGAATAAATTCAATGAGCACAATCAGATGCGTTGATAGCATAATATTTTTCTCTTACTATATTACTTATAGAACTCTTCATCATCATCATAGAATGACCTTGTCTATCTATGTAGTACATTCATTGTAAAGAAATAAAATTCTAATTATGAACGCGTTGATAAAAATGCACATATAGCTTTGTTTGTAAATACGATCAATTGGTTGTAGAACACAGCAGCGAGTGAAGTTAGTTGATTTCTTTTGTTCTTCGTTCAAATCAACTTTATATAGAGTCGAAAAAACATTTGTGTATTCGGTACTAATTAATACTGAGTTACAGCATATTTTTCTATAGAAATTCAACAAAACTTATCCATATGACATTGAATCAAGATGTTTTTCTATGAAATGTTCGATTTTTCAGGGCTATTGATGATATATCAATGCTCTATTGAATAATCTGATAATAATTGCATATTTTTCATTATATCACTAAAAAATGAATACTTGACCATCAGTTTGTTACAGATGTTCTATTCATTTTCAAGTTATTGGATTATTAAAAACGTTCATAAGAAATTCTTCTTATATTCTACATTTCCAGAAAAGTTTACTTCAATGTAATTTTTATAAAGTCTTGAGACAATATTTGAAAACGATTAACTAAAAACTTCAGAGAAATCCTATATATTATGACATAGTATATTAAAAAAAAGTAATTACGACGTGTAGAATTCAAAACTACAGTACTTAAGATTGAAAATGTAAACGATAGATTTAATTATTCGATTTTTAAAATGAAGTTACGTTTTCTATTATTATTGTCATCAACACATAGTTACCAACAATTATTAAATTATTAAATATAATTGATTAAAATAATTATTCATTTTTTTACCATCAAACATAGCTTCGCTGGTCATACATACTTATTGTAAAGGCTCTTCCAAGCTAAGCAATCATCCATGACCATCCGAAAGTACAAGCAATACTCACATAAACAGAGAAGATTCTCTGACTATCTTGAAGTGCTCATGATTATTCGTATCAATGTTTATGATTTCTTTGGGTGGTTGTATGGTTTGCAAGTCTTTTTACTGTATGAACTACATTAACAACAATAAAAAGTTTGGAAAGTTCATGTGTAACATTTATTGCATCGATTCCAGCTATGCTAATAAAATCATATGGAACCGACACTCTGACAACACCGATAGTAATTGTATTTTTTTTTATAGCAGTTGATGTTAAGTTTTTAGTCTTATGTTAAATATTTATAATTACTACCTATAACTGAGGAAAATTACATTTAAATGTCCTTACTTAGCAACAAAATTCTACAGATACAAGCTTTTTCCCTAAAAACTTGTGGCAAATGAAACATGTGTAACATATCAGTGAAACCACCTCTCAGAGCTTTCCAACTCTAATTAGCCATAATACATGTTTGAAGATGCTCAATAGTACGATTTCTGACTTTTGATGTAAAAAAAATAATTCATTGATCAAGTTACCACGATTGATATGAGACCGATAAACGTCTGTGTGTTTTAGACTTCATCTAAATACAGGATAATATGTGTTTATGCATGATGTACAATGAACTGTAATACTTAGTAGAAGTTAATACGACAGTTACGACAACGAAAAGAATGATACGAAAAATAGTAGATTAAAAAATAATAATAATAGCCAATAATTAACTAACACATAGTAACAAGATAAATAAAATGATAAAGAAGAATGTGGGTGTCGGGAACGGGATGTGGAGTGTAGGTGCGTGATGTAGCGGATATGGATGTGGCTG